GATACGAGAAGACCACTCGAAGAACTTAATAGATAGTCTCAATGATAAAAATAAAGGTTATTTTCTTTAGAGATTCTGGTTCAAGCAACTGTATCTATAGAGTTTGAGTATTGTCAATATATTAATAAATTTCTAAACAATTATTACATTATAATCACATTAGACTATTAAAAAAAAATAAGAAGAAGATCACTTTAAAGATCACACCTCATTAATACTCTTCTCGTCGTTACGATCAGAGAGGACAATAGGTGGGTCGATCATGTGAGAACAACAACTTAGAAAAACATGGATTTAAAGCTTAGTTAGACTTGAGAGAGAGTTAAGTAATAAACAAATCTTTCCAACATTGTAGATAATGAGAATTTTATTATTCGGTGTTGAATATGTTAGTAGTAAGCCCTCTCAATCACTTGTTTAGCATTGTTTTTAAAAAGTTACGTAAAAAAGTACATTTTGAAAATTACTTTTAAGAAGTATTTTTGGATTATTTGTTAGTATTTTGTATACTATTAAAAAGTGCTTTTGAAAAAGTAAATGGCTATTTTAAATATGATATTATAAGTTAAAAATATATATTTAAATGATCTTTCTATTTTTTTAATGTTATAATATGATTATTTATACCAATTAATTGAATGATTCGATTGCAATGTTTTAAAATATGTTGATACAATTGTAAACTTATTAACAATAGATGACATATGATGTAATTTACCCTTTTATCGTCTAAAGAACACGCGAAAAGTGCTTCAAGGAGAGAGAGAAAAAAAGAAGATTTTCAAAGCTCATAATAAATTTATGCAAATGAGCGAGGAGAGGAGAAAGATGGCTCAATTTACTTTCATTTTATGCCATTGCAACTTTTAAATCTTTTGTTTAATCTAATATTAAACCATCCGTCTAATCAATTGAATCAAAAAAACCAAAGATATAATTGTTTTGATCTCTAATTTTAATTTTAATATATTGATATTATATTTAATTATTTACGTTTTTTACTATATAAAAATGAGGTATAGAAATATTTCTCACTCACATAGTGGGTAAAAGGTAATCTTAGTTTAAGATAAATTACTTATTTGGTATCTTATCTATTATTATTTTTTTTAGTCACTTAAGTATTTTTAAAAAAAATCATATTTAACATTATGTTTTATTTCTATTTTGGTACAATTAAATTTACCATTTACTAAACAAAAATGGTAATGTGACATAGTATAATAATAGTTTGTCTCTAAAATTTACAAATTCTATCCAACTGATCCTAATATAAAATTATTCAATATTTTTATATTTAAAAATTTAATAATTTGATCCTATTTTAATTTAAAATAACTTAATGTTATTAATTTGACATAATTTTAATTTAAAATAATTTAATAATTTTGTTATTACTCAACCCTATGATATTAATTTAGTTAGAAAAATATAAAAACTCAAATTAAATAGTAATATTAGTAATATTACTCAATCCTATGAAATTAATTAAAAAAATATTTGATTTTTAAAACAATTTATTTTTACATAAATTAATTTTTAATTGTATTTGTAGACACCCATATTTTCATCCGGGACTCCAAAGGACTTATTTAGTATATATGATAATATATATAATAATTTCAAAAATATACAATGTATATAATTTTTGAAGATATATAATATAGTTTTGGAAAATATTTTTAAAAAACATATAATATATAGTTTTTAAAAATGATTTTAAAAACATATAACATGTAGTTTTTAAAATGGGGTTTTTTGAAAACGTATAATATATAGATTTTAAAAATGGTTTTGAAAACATATAATATATAGTTTTTAAAAGACGGTTTTTGAAAACATATAATATATAATTTTTAAAAATGTTTTTTGAAAACGTATATAATATAGTTTTGGAAACATATTTTGAATATATATATATATTAAAACGGTTTTTGAAAACATATATAATATAAAGAATTTTTGAAACCATATATAATATATAGAATTTTTGAAAACATATTATATAGTTTTTGAAAATATAATATAAGTTCTATAGTTTTTAAATAAATATGTATTACACATTATATTATATATTATTTATAGTGTTATTTATTATTTATTATTCATTTATTCATTTATTTACTTAATTATTTTTATTGGTTTTAGGTCAAAATTGAAATTCGAGTCCCGGAAAAGTATAAGGGAGCCCAACCAAGTAGGTAGACCTGAACCAGCAAGCCCACCCGACTAGAGCCCAACGGATAGAAGGGCATGGATGATCAAATTTTTTTAAGGGTTTATAAACCATAACCATTAAAATACCAGCACTACAAAGTAGCAGTCGTTGGATCTGATCAATTGATCCAACAACCCACAACACAGCAGGAGACCCCAACGGTCACCGTTCAACGCATGGAGGTTACGCACCAGTAACCGAATGAGATTTTCGACCAAGCAACACAGGACTGAACCATCACGAGATCTCCTGTCAAACACAAACCATAAACAACCCAAAAATGGAAAAACCGGAGAACCAACACACATGAATCCCGTCATTTTTCAGGACCACAACAGTCGGATCCAAGGCTATAAAAGCCTCCGGCTAAAACGTCAAACATGACACACATAAAAATATCGAAAAAACATAGTATCCATAGCAACCAAAGAAAACATTGAATAAAAACGAAGCAACAATCTAAGAACACACCAAGAGATAAAGCAATACACATCGAAATATAGCATAAACCGTGCAAAAAACAACATCTCGCGAAGCCGTGAATAAATCACAAAGCAAAGAAGCAAACATCCACTTGAAAACTGATGGGTCATCGGAGATAAAAAGTAAAAAACGAAATCTTTTAGTCTAGATCTACGTTGAGAGGATTTACTTATATTACTTTGGGGTTCATATTTGGGTTCTTGAGAGTGAGAAAAACATTTTGGGGTGTCTTAGGTTCTCCAGGCCACCGGTGGCGGTGGCCGGGGCGACGTTGAGCGGCGGGCATGGTCACCTGAGCCGGGGAGTGGTTTCTCGGTTGGGACTTGGGATAAAAAAGTTTTTGTAGAGGAGAGTATTTTCTTGAAGTACGAGGGGATAAATGATATTTGTTGTTAATTTGGGGCTATTTATAGGGGACCAGTTTGTAAATATCAAAATTTTAAATTGTTTCTATAATCCCTGGAAGTGTGAAGTTCAATTCATTTTGGTCACCTATTATAAATTAACCCTTTAATTTTAAATTTATTCAATTTAATCCCTGCTATATTTTTTATACATTTTCAATTTAATCCTCTAACTTTATTTTCTATCGTTGCAACTTTCAATTTATTCAATTTGATCCTTAATCATTTCCAATTTAATACTTTTAATTTAGATTTTATTTTATTTATTTAAATTTTTATTTATTTATTTTATTGAGATTTTATTTTCTTTATTCTAACCCTAATATTAATTTTTTGTGTTTTTTCTTTTATCTTATCTTATTTTCTTTTATTTTATTTAACATTTTTGACCTTTTTTTTAGGATAAATTTAATCGATGAAAGGTAAGTAATTCATATCAAATTTTAATTTAACTTTTATTTTTCATAATTAAGACAACAGAGCAATTAAATTGGTACCGAAATGGCAGTACAAGTGTGTTAATCATTGCTTGACTGTAATCGAATCCCGATTCCGACAAATATTTGGTAAAATGCAGATCAGGTAAAATGGTAAATTAAGGTATCCGATCAATCTAATATTAAATGATCAGTGGTGGCTCCAACACATTAAATTCAAGTCGAAACCCAATTTTGGGCCCACCTGAAGGACGATTATGACAATTTGAGAGCTCCACTAGGGATAGGTAAGTGAGTCAAAGCTAAAATTAATTTCTGGTTGTCTTCTTAAGCAACAATTGTAAGTTTAAATTTTAATTTATCTTTTCGATCCTTATTATTTACTTTTGATTAGTATTTTTCAAAAAAATAGTCGTACTGATGTTTTTTTTTAATGATTTCAGCTTTTCAAAAATTCATCTCAGGCTCTATACCAAACCATTTCGTATGTGGAGGTGAAAGCAACGCCTTCGTGGGAATGTATTCTCCGTATAGGCTTAACAAGTAACCTTCAAGATTCATATACCTTATGTCTTCGTGTGAATTTATTCTCTGTACAAACATAAGGAAATGTGTCCTCTCGAGTTTAACTCGATCCACATAAGCTTGTAAAGGGCTTAGGACTGAGGGTATGGCAAGCCCAAGGGGCATCTACAAGGAGAACTCGGGTACCTTTTCTTAGAACCTAAACAGGGAGACTGCACGGAATTAGAGCCCACCCCGAAACTTCATTTCGAAAACCTAGGGTGCCTGATTTATTTTTTGTTTTCAAAGCATGTGAATTATAAATATATGCTATTAGGATTTGTTTAGAAAATTAACATGCGGGATAAAAATCATGTCCAAGTAGGAAAAAACATGTGAGGTAAATATCATGTGGGGTAGAAATTTTTTATTTTCATTATTATTATTTTGATTATTATTTTTATCTTACTAACTTGTTCCCTCATTTTTATTTTTCTTTTATTTCTATCATTTGCATCATTTAAAGAGGCGTTGTTCCGCAAAAAGTGTTCGTTAAAACTTTAATAATTTGCATTAATGGACAAAGGGGTTGTAATGCAAGAGGTGAAAAATGCAGAGGTCCGGCTATGGTCAGAGAAGACTCAGAAGGAAAAAGGGGACAACCTCCAAAGTAACTATGTGTCAGATATGGTTGGCTATGCTTCTATCAGCCTTAAACAGGATATTCAGTAATTGCAGAGCATTTGGGATAGCTGGAAAAATGAAAGGAAACAAAGATCCTGCCAACGGTACGGTGATATCGCACATCTACTCTATGTCAAGATTGATGAATCTTTGATTCAAGCCTTAGTGTAATTTTGGAATCTGGGGTACAACTGCTTTACATTCAATCAAGAAGACATGTTACCCACAATTGAGGAATACACTACCCTATTACATTGTGAAAGAATCAGAATGGACCGGGTATACACCAAATATATCAAAGGTCAGCTTTTCAAGAATGGGTTGGTAAAAGTTCAAGGGGTAGATGAAAAGTGGGTAACTGACCGAATTCTTCACAAAGGCAAGGGAGAAGTAATTATTTTGACTCACATCAAGCAATTAATGAAGAATCATCCTGATGAATGGAAGGTGACTAACCTTTTCGCACTGGGTATCTATGGCATTGTTATCTTCCCCAAAACTTTGGGATACATCAAGGCAGCTGTGGTGGAACTGTTCGAACAATTAACTAAGTAAGTCAACCCTTCACCGATTTATAAGGTGCACATAGCTTCTTCAGGTTTGGATCCATAGTTATTTCTGGAAGACTGATGGTATTATTACCGCCGATTCAGCATCACTTATAATCCTTTAGAGAAATTTCTTACACAAAAGTGGCGAGAAGACATTCCGAATGAGAAATGGGTAAATGTATTCATCCACCTTCAAGATAAGGACATTATATGGAGAGCCCTTTGGCTGACTTATAGTGACATCCTTTATCAATGTGGAGACTCAATAAACATAATGTTACTTGGGTTATGGGGAGGAGTTGGTTATTCTCCGCTTTTAGCAATTTGGCAGTATGGGGCACGTCAATTTGTCCCAGTTACACATGAGATATTTGGATCAGAGTTTGCATACCATGAGGAAAACTACAAGAAGAAGGTCAAAGATGTAGTTGAGCTATGGAAGAAGATATTTCGTACAGATGTCGTAGCTTCTAAAGACATGCTTACTCCAGATTATATAAAATGTAGAAAGCTAAGGAAGAATGAAATCGTTCCCATACCAGATCATGAAGATACTCGGACCATGGAAGAACATCTTAAACCTGTTCCCTCTGAATTAGAGATAGCAAAGAAGGAATTCGAAGCTGAAAAGGAGAAGCTGAAACAAAGACTAATGGAACTCGAAGCTGAAAAATTCCAATGGAAGTTAGATGCCGATACTCAAAAGGATCGAGAAGACATGTTAGAAAAGGAATATAAGAATGTCTTCTTTGAGTTGGAAGATTTGAGAACAGGGTATCAAGAGCAAGTTTAGAGCAATTCCAGCTTAAAAAGGTCTTCCAAGTACTGGAAAGGTGAATCTAACAGCCTGAAAAGAAAGTTCGAGGAACAAGATGAAAGAGATACCCTAAAAGAGCAGTTAAAGGTTTCCCAAAGACATTTGTTAGAAAGATAACACCAGAACAAATGATTGAAAACCAAGGTAAATGATTTGGAAAGATCCCTTCAGAAGCTGCGAAAATAGGATCGTAGAACTATAGCTGAGTTGGAGGTCATTGTAGACAAATTCAAGAAGTAGGCATGTAAGATTCATATAGTTCCTTTTGATTGAGGACTTCAATGGCATTTTCATTGGGATCAGACTCAACAAAGGGTGAAAGCTATTGATGTAGTCATTCAAGACTTTTTAGAGCAGGTATAGAAAACATCTCGTCACCTGTATAGCTTGGAAAAAGAAGTCGAAGCGGTTTGATAAGGTATTCAGCCACTGACAAATGAAGCAAGAAGACTTGTCAACCTATTAGAAAATGTTTAGGGTTTAGAGGACCTAGCTAAAATGTACCTTTGAGTTGTTTTGGTCTCTTAGAAATAACACTTTTGTCCCAATAAAGATTATTTTTAACAACAAACAAGTTTTTGGATTAGTGCCTCGAAAACTTCATGCATCATGCATTCCTGCATATTTTGCATGTTTCTTTTTCTTTTTGTGTCTTTACATTCACATTAACTAACAGAAAATGTCTAATCAAACAAAATAACAAATACTGGATGTACCGCCTTAAGCATTAGACACACCTCATCCTCACAATACTCGTTCAAAGAAAAAGAATATGAAAGCTAAGATCACAACTTGAAGAAAACATGCTAAGGTTACAAAGGAACTTGAAGAAAAAATAAGTCAAAATAAAAAAAAAACCTTGGATTCCATCACCAGGAACCAAGAGTCATTAGTTGATCAGATCGTTGCAAGGCTGTCTGGCCTAAATCAAATGAATGCTCTTGGGCCACCTACCCCACTGCTGATTTTTTCACCTGAGATTTTACCGGGACTTTAAATAGACACATCTATTGCAAAAGCACAAGCTTCGTCTGTCGAAAAAAACACAAGCTTCATCGCTGCAAAAGAACAAGTTTGTGTAACTAACCCTTAAAATAATCTGAATGATTATCGTATTCCAGATTTTGATGAAGAGGATAAAATAAAGAAGATCTAGGGGAAAATTAAATTGTTGGAAGATCAAATGAAGACAATTAAGGGAAAAGATAATTATTACAGAGTTGATGCTCCGGAACTAAGCTTACTCCCAAATTAAATTATTCTCCTAAGTTTAAAGTCCTAGATTTTGAGAAATACGATGGCAACAGTTGCCCTTTAGCTCACATTACCATGTTCTATCGAAAGATGACATGATACGTGGAAAATGATCAGCTCCTAATTCACTACTTACAGGAGAGTCTGTCAGGTTCAGCCATCCGGTGGTATAATAAACTGAACCGTTCTCCTATTAGAACATGAAAAGATCTCGCCAAGTCTTTTTTAGAACAATACAAGCATGTAAATGACATGAGGCAAGGTCTTGTCATGCTAAAAAGTATGGAGAAGAAACATAATGAAAGCTTCAGACACTATGCACAACGATGGATGGATTTAGCTGTGCATGTTCTCCTTTGGATGAAAAAGAGACAAGGAAGTTATTCGTACATACTTTGAAGGCTTATTTCTTAGGGCATCTGGTTTCAATTACATCTGGGAATCTTTAGTACCAACAAAAGTGTTACGATCTCCAAGTTAAAACAAACTGCAGCTGTACCATCAGGTACTTTTAGACAAGATGCGAGAGAACCAAGAAGGGAAAATGAGTATTTCTAATCGATTCCCATGACATATAAGGAACTTTACAAGCAACTTTTTGACAGACATGTGGTGTCACCATACCCAGTAGAACCACAAAAGCCACCATACCCCAAGTGGTATGATGAAAACACACATTATGAATATCATGGTGGTGTCTCGGGGCATGCTATTGAAAACTCCCTCGCCTTTAAGAGGATTATTTAAAGAATGCGCAATAGGAACTGTATTCATTTCAACAACTCAGAAACACCTACGTTGAACAGAACCCTCTACCTAACCACAAAGAAAGTGAGGTTAATGTAATCATCAAAGAGAGAGGTAAGAGGGCCAACACAAGTGTTTCTGAAGTGAGGTCTCATCTGTCTTGGGTATGGAGATAAATGATAAAGGTAGGATTTCTTGCGCCACATACAAGTACATCAAAATATAAAGACAAAATTTATTGTTTTTACCACAATGAAGAGGGACACGAGGTAAACAAGTGTTCTAAATTTAAAGATTTGATCCAGCTCATGATAGACATGAATGAGCTAGAATTTTATGAAGAAGACAAGGATACACCGGAAGCCGATGTTTGTGCGACTGAAGATTCATCTGACAGGGGGCATGGCTCGAGCCGCCTTTTGATAATCACCCCCAAAGCGAAGATCGCAGATAAAGTACCAGCAAAGGTGGAAATAACATCACAAAGACCTTTTCCCTATAAAGACAACAAATAATTGCCTTGGAAATATGAATGTCAAGTAAGCTTTTTGAAGGAAAATGTCGATAAAGTGGGCCTACTATTGGAAAATACTACTCACAAAAGTCTAACCTACCCCAGAGACCACTTGAACCGTTCAAATGGGATGTACTAGCAGTAAATGAGTAAATAAAGGAAGAAGAGGCTTTGGAGTTCTTAAAATTTCTAAAACACAATGAGTACAACATCGTGGAAAAATTACATAGCCTGCTAGCACATATTACATAGCCTGCTAGTACCACATCCAAGCTGATAATCACATCTCATTTTCTGATGATGAGATTCCGTCTGGAGGAAGAGGTAGATCTAAAATATTACATATCACCACTCATTGCAAAGGGCATGCTTTGCTAAGCATATTAATTGACAATGGCTCTGCCCTTAATATAATGCCTTTGGTCACTCTAAAAATGCTACCAATGGATACTTCCCACATGAGAACATGCTAGAGTGTGGTTCGAGCATTTGATGGGACAAAGAGAGAAGTGCTCTGTAAAATTGAAGTACCATTGACCATTGGACCATCCACGTATAACATAGAGTTTTGAGTGATGTATATTATGCCTTCATACAACTGTCATTTAGGAAGGTCATGGATTCATCAAGCTGAGGCAGTATCATCAACACTAAGCTAGAAAGTCAAGTTTGTTATTGACGGGGCTCTTGTAATCATCAATGCTGAAGAAGACGTAGTGGCCAGCGTGACCACAAATACCCCTTATATAGATATGAATGAAGAGGATTTGGAATGTTCAATTCGATCATTGGAGTTTTTTAATGCCACATTTATAACCGAAGGGGGTAAGATTTCTAGACCAAGACTCTTAGAATGCACCAAGATGGAAATCAAGCAAACTTTGGGAAGAGATACAAAGATAGAAAGAGGGTTTAAGAGTTGTCTACAAAGGATAATTAGCCCCATTTTTTCTGTTGCCAAGATGGATCAATTTGGGCTTCGATATCAACCCAGTCATCAACAGAGGAGGAAGGAAATTTAGAAATCTAGGAGAGAAGAAGTGCAAGAAAGACTGGGGAAGAAGTTCAATGGAAACCAATAGTTTTTCCTCCTCTTCATAACACATTTCGATATGGCGGCTATGTGTTTGAGGAGGAAGCAATGACGGCCTTACCTTATATGGAAGAAGCTCTGAATGACTTAAGCATCAATTTTCCCTATTTGTGGTTCGTGCTTAACAACTTGACGACTGAAGAACTATATGTGGTTTTCTAATCTCTTTCAGAGTAATACTCAAACTTTCCCTATTTGCCTATACTTGGGGTAATAGGTGATATTTTGTAAGGGTTAATGGGTTGTTTTATTTATATTTAAATAAAAGATGCAATTTTCTTTTCCGGTAAATATTTTTTTTTATCTTATTTCTTTACTTTTGTATATAATTTTATTTCTTTTCTTTATTCTATGTGGTATATTTCTTCTCTCGTATATGCATATTTTTTCTCATTTCCTTTTCAGATCTTTGGATCTTCATGATGTGGACAATATCAATTCTGACCCGGAGGTGGATTTTGATCATTTCAAGTGTCTTGGGGAAATTGATGAATGTGACCATAAAGAAAAGTGCGACTTACCTTCTGATTTATTAATAATGGTGGAGAGAAGACAACCAAATATTGCCCCATTAAGAGAAAATTGAAGTCCTGAACTTGGGCATGGAAGAAGAAAAGAAAGAAATTAAAATTGGCACGACACTCTCCTCTGAAGTAAGGGAAAACTTGATAGACTTACTTTGGGAGTACAAAGACATGTTTGCATGGTTATACCAAGACATTTCTGAGCTAGACATGGATATGGTAGTCCATAAATTTCCAATCAAACCAGAATACAAACCCGTTCAGCAAAAACTAAGGAGGATGAGACCTGAAATGCTCCTTAAGATAAAAGAAGAAGTCAGGAAGTAGTTTGATAAGGGTTTCCTTCAAGTGGCCAAGTATCCAGAGTGGGTGGCTAACATAGTGCTGGTATAAAAGAATGATGGAAAAGTGCACATGTACATCGACTACCAAGACCTTAATAAAGCAAGTCTTAAAGATAACTTCCATTTATCGCACAGAGACACGTTGGTGGATAATACATCCGAAAATTCTTTCTTCTCATGGATGGATTCTCAGGATATAACCAGATTAAGATTCATCCATATGACATGTAGAAGACCACATTCGTCATGATGTGGGGGACTTTTGTTACAAGGTAATTCCCTTCGGATTAAAGAATGCAGTGGTAACATGCCAAAGAGCATGATGACCTTGTTTCACAACATGATGCATAAAGAAATCGAAGTTTATGTTGATGACATGATTGTCAAAGAACAAACTGAAGATGAACACATCGAGAATATGAGGAAACTCTTCCAAAGACTGAGAAAATTCTAATTAAAGTTGAATCCAAACAAGTACACCTTCGGAGTAATATCTGGGA